AGAGAGAGAGAGAGAGAGAGAGAGAGAGAGAGAGAGAGAGAGAGAGAACCACTAGTTAATCGTCAGTATTTGTTTTTATGTTCTTGGAGCACCTTTCTGATCTAAATAAGCCAGAATGTTTAGATGCTATGAGGATCTTAATTGTCCTGATGTGTTAAATTAACCACCTGGTGCCCTCATATTACCAAACAGCACCAATGCCAAAATGATATTTGTGTTCAGCATTTCTTTGTTTTTATTCATATACTTTTTTTTTTAACTTTCTAAATGTCCCGCACATTCCTTTCAAGTCACAATGGCTTTCTCTCACTTCAATTAACTTTTGTAAACTTTTAAAATAGAAACTTCAACTTTCAGCTTAGTGAGGTTTGTTGGTTCTTGATAGATACTTTTGCTTACAGGTCTCATAGTTATGATATGTTAGAACATGAATGAATTGATGCTTAGTTTCAACACTAGAGAACAGAAAAAGACCAAAGTCTGCTTGGCTGACAAATTAAAAAACGGATCTGCCAGCATGTCTTTAGGACCCACGTAGGATTAACAACCACTAACACTTTGATTGATGCAAGCACAGAGAATATATCATTTGCTTGCGCGCCTTTACCTTGCTGGACTTGTGGTCCACGTTGAAAGTGACGACAGCGTGCGGGGTCAGAGGTCGGCCCTCCAGCAGCAGCAGGTGTCGAGACAGCTGATTGGCCAGGTAGGTCTTTCCTGTACCGCTGGGGCCCGACAGGATGACGCGCCTGTGCTCCTTCAGCAGGGAGACGTAGCGCTGCAGCATCGGCTTCGGGATCAGAGTGTCGAACACCAGCGAGTCCACGTTCTTACTGCTCACACCTGGACACACACACGACAGGACATTTGTGTCATTTATCTACGTCTGTGTAGGTCTAGTTATTAGAGGAATAAGAAAATAGGACTTTTGCGTCAACAGTTTCTCTCTGTATGAAGTTATCACATCTTTCTTTTTCACACTGGTAGAACAGAGTAATCGTTTGCAGAGTTGGCTCGATGAGGCGTTGGTACCTTTGAGCCGGATGTTGATGGTGTTGCTGTCTCCCACCAGGTAGCCACAGGGCAGCAGCTCGGGCGTTTGGGCGGCCTTGGGGATGCTGGGCCGGTGGATATCTCCGATGTTGTATCCCTCCACGCTGTCTGAGCTCAGGCCCAGCTGGCTCACCGGGTCCACATGGGTGATGTATTCCTGTTAAGACACAAAGTCTCGGCATTTGAAGGACGTTTTTGTGAAGTTTCTACAGAGGATACCGGCTATATGACCTTTTCTGATTCTTAATCAAAATGTTTTTGCTGAACAGAAGCACGTTTAGCTTTTAAGCAACTTTGTGTCATAGAAGGGAACCTGACTGCCAAGACATTTTCAAGATCCTTAACACTTTAAGATTCCTTTCACAGACTTAAAACTCAGAAACTGTCTTTAAACATGGTGACATGATGCCGAGGTGTTTCTAATAATCCTGTTATCTGATTCTGTATTGCAATAACTCCCGTTTATGTTTACCTTGAAAAGGCGTCGGACGACTCCGTCCAGGACGTCCCACTTGGTTTTACCGCTCACGCCAATGCAACCAATGAGAAAATGACGAGGACGGCCCTCCTGTGATGGGAAACCACAACACGACTGGTTTTAGATACCAAAAAGCCTCCAGGTACATTAACTATCGTAGTGAACAAAAAGAGTTGTATTTTTCAAACAGGTCTCACCTCTCCCCACTTGCTGTGCTCGTCCAGGCTGACGACCATCTTCACGTGTCGCCCCTCCTTCCTCATCCCTCCGTCTCCGCCGGTGTCGTCCAGCAGCATGTCTGACAGGAAGGCAGAGCAAAGTCAGACAAGGCTTCCAAATTCCCCGTGAAAAATGGGAAAGCGTTTCCATGTTTTCTCTTTAAGAGATCAAGTCACTGCAGAAAGCCGACTTACTAACAGCAACTAAGTGTATGTTTTGGAGATATGGATTCGCAATAACATTTTTAAAAAAAGGACAGTATTATTATACTGGATGTCTCAACTGTTATCTGCGACATTTGGTTGAAGCCTATTTAGTATCTCATATGAATCTACCAGGAACCACCGTGTACGTCCCGGGACATCAGCTCAGACTTACCCAGGCTGGTGGACTCGCTGGTGGTGAGGTTGAGGCTGTGCTGGGAGAGCCCCGGCCCCGTTCCCTGAGCCTGGCTGTGTGTGTGATGGGGAGGAGAGGAAGAGATGGAGGCCTGGGAGCCCATCCTGCTGCCCTGATTCTCCACCTTCAGACGGTCATTCTCCGACTTCAGCTTCTCGATCTCCACCTGCAGACACACACACACACAAGAGGAAGTTACAAAAAACAGCTAATAGTTTATTAAATCTGAACTTAAAGTATAGCTGCCCCTTCAACTAATGCGCTTGTATCTAAATACATGTTATGTCTCCTTTCAAATTTCTTCCAATCAGACCAAATGCAATGTTTAAAACTGTAAAATTGTACATCAACTAATATTAACAATACAAAAATCATTTCTCAAAATATAACTATGAGCTAAGAGCTTTTTTATTGGGGATAAAAAAACGCTTTGCAAAGTAGAAAACACTGTGCATCAATTAGTTAAATTCAGCCAACATAGTTTTGTATTTCAAATGTTTGATTTACCCTGTCATGTGAAATTCTCGACAATATAGTTGTTTGTGTGTGTGTGTGTGTGTGCTCCTGCGGACCTGCATGCGGTTCATGGCCTCCCTGAGCTGGTCCAGCTGATGAGCGGAGCTGAGAGCCTCCAGGCGGATATCAGTGAGTTTCATCTCCTTCTCCCTGAGCTCACTGCGCAGCTGCATCACCGTCTCCGCCTCGCTGTCCAAACACTCAGACAGTCTGTGCACACAAGCAGGACAACATGAGATAATGCGATTCAAGCAGACTTCTTTTCCCAAGACAAGACTTTATTTGGACATGTATGTATAGTACATGGTGCATACGTACAGCGAGTTGGAGTGTGTGTTCCTGAGCATGTGGCTGTCGGCTGTGGAGCCGTTGTGGGGCAGTTTGGGGGAGGACGGCAGCGACGAGTCCGTCATCTCCTCGATGTCGGAGTGAGATGAGGCCGACTTTGGAGATTTCTTCTTGCTGAACGCTTGTTTGAAGGAGCTTCGCAGCTGCAGGTGGAAAACAGAGAAGGAGAGAGAGAGACGGTGAGCAGGCGATGCGACGCACCCAAAAACACGCGGCTGAGAGGGAGAGGAGCAGTGTGCCGGGGGATGTGGAGGAAAACAGCTGTGAAAAAGTGCAAGTGAGTCAACGGGAGTAAAGGAATTATGGGTAGACTGTCTTATCACCTGAGCTACAGCTCCAAATGTGAGAAGTGAATAGCTACTTACGGCTCATTGTTTTTGTTTTTATATAATCATAAACAGTGGAAATTAATGTTCAGAAATAAACTGGGTGAAAATTGTCCTTGAGACAGAATTCAATACAGACACCTGATCAAGACGATGTGTGTTTGCATTCATCACAGAATTAAACATTTCTTATTTTTTTCTAATCCTGCATAATTAGCGATATAATGTGAATTTTCTCTTGCCGTTCTAAAACTGCAATGTGTTCTAAGCTGTACTCATTTACATTCTGGCGAAAATCTGTAGAAAAAACAAAAATGATGAGCCATATTGAAACTGCACGTAATCTTCTAGATAAGACCCGTGTCAACATCTGAGTGTTTCCTCATAGTTTGTGTTTAAAGGAAAAATACACCGTGTGTACTGTACACTCTTATCACTGCTTCTACTTCAGTCAGTGATTCCCTACAAGTTTTTCAACAATCCTTTGAGAAATGGCCTCTCTACTGAAGACAGATTAACGCACAAGCCGTTGCTACAATGCATCCTCACTCTGTTTCTACGGAAGCCCCGATGGGTAAGTTAGACAAAAAAGACACAAGCTACATCTAATCCAGTGTTAAAGTATTTTCTGATGGATTTTTCCTTTCACGAGCTGGCTCAGGTGTCATAAGAGCAGTGTTCAGGGAGAAGCAGTGTTGGGGAGGAGAGGACAGGAGGAAAAGGACAGAGGTTAGTAACCTAGAAAAGGTGCAGGAGTTGTGCAGCTTTGTTTCTTTCATTGCACACAGCGTACCACTCTTACCTCATAGACCTGCCACATGAAGCGAAGCAAAGGAAGACAGAGAGACAAAACAGCACATGTTCATATGGGTTTGAGGTGTGTTAATGTGTTTATGGAGGGACAGGGATTAAACTAGAGGCCCGTACAGGAAGAAAGCTGATTGTATTTAACCTCCAGGCAGCTAATGCTACATCACAACCACCATGAAGCGGGGTCTTTCATGATCCACACTGCCCCTATACGCTCCACATCACATACAATGTATGAGCACCTGAATAGAGGAGCCTCCTGTGGGGTCTCATC